AAGAGCGCCTTCAAATCAATGCGTAAACTTAATGTAAAATTCTGATACCACTATTCGTGCGTCACAGCAGTCATTTTGCATACCCGGCCATTTGAAGGCGTCTCGTTGATTTCAGGCAAACTGGTCAAAAACGAGCATTTCCGACCACTTTTTGAATCTTTCTCTGGAGCGTTTTCAGCGGAAAGCTCGAAGCGAGGGACTCGCGGAGCTTTCCGGACTCGAAAATCGCACTCAGCGGGTCAATTCCAAGCGAGCTTACTTGGTTTCTGCCCGATCAGCGAATTTTCGATTTTGATGCTAAAAATTTAGTCCATGTAACCCATGTCAATTTTTCTCGAGTTTGGACTGAGAAAAAACGTTTGAAATTTCAGTCGCATCCTACGTAGTTGGAGGCGTAGAATCGATTCTGCACAGTCTTGGATCTCTGCGAGGCTTCTTGAGTCGAGAAACAGTCAGAAACAGGTCAAAAACGAGCTTTTCTGACCCCTTCTTGATTCTTTCTCTAGAGCAATTTTAAGCGGATAACTCGAAGCGTGTGGCTCGCGGAACTTTTCCGACAGGAAAATCTTATTCAGCGGGGCAATTCCAAGCGGGCTTACTTGGTTTCGCCCCGTTTGGCTAACTTTCAATTTTGACCCGAAATATTTCGTCTAACTTTCGATTTTGACGCTAAAAAATTTAGTCCATGTAACCCCTGTAGATTTTTCTCCATTTGGGACTGAGATAAAAATTTCGAGGTATCAGTAGCATCCTACGTAGTTGGAGGCGTAGAATCAATTCCGCACGATCTTGACTCTCGGCAAGGCTCCCTGAGCCGAAAAACATTCAGAAACTGGTCAAAAACGAGCATTTCTGACTCCTTTTTGAATCTTTCTCTGGAGCGTTTTCAGCGAATAGCTCGAAACGAGGGAGTCGCGGACCTTTTCCGACTCGAAAATCGCATTCAGCGGGTCAATTCCAAGTTATCTTACTTGGTGTCGGTCCGATTGGCGAACTCTTGATTTTGTCGAGCCGAGAACCAGTCAAAAACAGGTAAAAAACGAGCTTTTCTGACCAATTTTTGACTCTTTGTCTAGAGCGTTTTCAGCGGACAGCCCGAAGCGAGGGACTCCCGGAGCTATTCAGACTGAAGAATCGCACTTAGCGGGTCAATTCCAAGCGAGCTTTCTTGGTTTCAGGCTGATCGGCGAACTTTCGATTTCGACCCCGAAAATTTAGTCCGTGGTTCGTACCTCAGTAGATATTTCTCGATTTGGGACTGAGAAAAAAATTTCGAGATTCCAGTCGCATCCTATAGAGTTGGAGGCGTAGAATCGATTCCGCACAGTCTTGGCTCTCTGCGAAGCTTCCTGAGCCAAAGAACAGTCAAAAAGTGGTCAAAAACGAGCTTTTCTGACCACTTTTTGCCTGTTTCTCGGGAGCGTTTTGAGCGGATAGCTTAAAGCGAGGGACTCGCGGAGCTTTTCCGACTCGAAAATCGAACTCAGCGGGTCAATTCCAAGCGAGCTCAGATCCAAAGGAGTAAACGTCACGAGATAATCGATCGGCTTGGAGGACAAGGCGCACATGGCGCACAAGTGCAGTTTCTGCTATTTCAAGAAATACGTGTTAGAAGTTTCGAAATTCTACATGGATCCTTATGGCGGAATAAAAGTTCAAACTGACATTTTGATGCTTAAAAATTGGAATTTGGGAGCGAATTTTTTACGGAATATGCATCAAGACTAGTTTTACTTGGAATTAAAACTGGCGTTACATGGACTAAATTTTTAGCGTCAGTATCGAAAGTTCGCCGATCGAGCCGAAAGCAAGTTAGGCCGCTTGGAAATGACCCGCTGAGTGGGATTTTCCAGTCAAAGTAGCTCCGCGAGTCCCGCGCTTTGAGCTATCCGCTGAACACGCTCCAGAGAAGGAGTCTAAAATTGGTCTGAAAAGCTCGTGTTTGACCAGCTTTTGACTGTTTCTAGGCTCAGGAAGTCTCCCCGAGATTCGGGACCGTACGGAATCGATTCTACGCCTCCAACTACGTAGAAAGCGACTGAAATCTCGAGATTTTTCGCACCGTCCAAAATCGAGGAAAATCGACAGGGGTTACATAGACTAAATTTTTAGCGTCAAAATCGAAAGTTCATCAATACGGCCGAAACCAAGCAAATTTGCTTCTAATTGACCCACTGCGTGCGATTTTCCAGTCGGAAAAGCTCCGCGAGTCCCTCGCTTCGAGCTATCCGCTGAAAACGCTCCAGAGAAAGAGTCAAAAGTTCGTCTGAAAAGCTCGTTGTTGACCAGTTTTTGACTGTTTCTAGGCTCAGGAAGTCTTGCCGAGAGTCGAGACCGTGCGGAATCGATTTTACGCCTACAAATTATTAGGATGCAACTTAAATCTCGGATTTTTTTTCAGAGTCCAAAATCTAGGAAAATCGACAGGCGTTACATGGACTAAAGAGGTTGTTCCAAAAACGCCGATTTTTGCCCAAACTTTGCTCAGATGTTTTACTAAGTGTCCCCGATGCTTGGGCAAAATTTCAGCCCCCTCGGATAATTAGGGGGGAGGGGGCAGGGGGGCAAAGTTGCAATTTTTTTAAAACTTTAAAAATCGATATCTCGCGAACAGTTTGAGTGTAAGTGTTGCGGTTTGCGCTAAAAAACGTCAAAAAGTATTCTCTACAAGAATATTAATGCTGTTTGCAAGGTTGCGTAATTTATCGCGGTCATAAATCGATTTTTTCGATTTTGAAGGTTCGACTTTTTTCCGTTTTTCGTCTCTCCTCTCTTTGGAATCGTTGCTACGTGAATAAAAACCTGTTGAGGTGATTTTCCATGAAATTCTGCATCTACCACACTTTGTTTTATTTTGGGGAAACGATTCGTTCGTGAGTTATAGCGATTTTTCTGCGCGTTATCGGTTACGCGCGGGCGGCTTATCGGCGGCGCTCCATCCCGCGCGGGCAAGGCAGAGGTTGTTTCACCGCTAGGGCCTTATATTCATGCTGTAGGCTGTAATTATCGATATTTTCTCCTCCCCCCACCCTTCTCCTGCAATAAATATTTGTTTAATACTTCGTTATACAGGGTATCCCAGACCACCCGTAACAGGTCTTTTTCTCGGTTGGTTTAGGTAGTACGAAGTGGGGGGCCGCGGGATTGAATAGGGAATGGAACACAAGGAATCCGAATTTCACGGTCCCGAAACCCCCCATGCCCCCCTTGGGAGGTAAAGTGGGGGTCATGATCCCCAAAGTCGGGAGACATTGTGCCTCCCCCTTTTACCCCCCGAGGGTGGCTAGGGGGGCATCGGGACCGTGAAATTCGGATTCCTTGGGGTCAATTCCCTATTCAATCCCGCGGCCCCCCACTTCGTACTACCTAAACCAACCGAGAAAAAGACCTGTTACGGGTGGTCTGGGATACCCTGTATAACGAAGTATTAAACAAATATTTATTGCAGGGGAAGGGTGGGGGGAGGAGAAAATATCGATAATTACAGCCTACAGCATGAATATAAGGCCCTAGCGGTGAAACAACCTCTGCCTTGCCCGCGCGGGATGGAGCGCCGCCGATAAGCCGCCCGCGCGTAACCGATAACGCGCAGAAAAATCGCTATAACTCACGAACGAATCGTTTCCCCAAGATCAAACAAAGTGTGGTAGATGCAGAATTTCATGGAGAATCACCTCAACAGGTTTTTATTCACGTAGCAACGATTCCAAAGAGAGGAGAGACGAAAAACGAAAAAAAGTCGAACCTTCAAAATCGAAAAAATCGATTTATGACCGCGATAAATTACGCAACCTTGCAAACAGCATTAATATTCTTGTAGAGAATATTTTTTGACGTTTTTTAGCGCAAACCGCAACACTTACACTCAAACCGTTCGCGAGATATCGATTTTTAAAGTTTTAAAAAAATTGCAACTTTGCCCCCCTGCCCCCTCCCCCCTAATTATCCGAGGGGGCTGAAATTTTGCCCAAGCATCGGGGACACTTAGTACAACATCTGAGCAAAGTTTGGGCCAAATCCAGGGGGGGGGCAAAATCGGCGTTTTTGGAACAACCTCTTTTTAGCGACAAAATCGAAATTTCGCCGATCGAGCCGAAAGCAAGTTAGGCCGCTTGGAAATGACCCGCTGAGTGCGATTTTCCAGTCGGCAAAGCTCCGCGAGTCCCGCGCTTCGAGCTATCCGCTGAAAACGCTCTACTTAATTTTTAGCGTCAAAATCGAAAGTTCGCCGAACGAGCCGAAAGCAAGATTGGCCGCTTGGAATTGACCCGCTGAATGCGATTTTCGAGTCGGAAAAGGTCCGCGACTCCCTCGTTTCGAGCTATCCGCTGAAAACGCTCCAGAGAAAGAGTCAAAAATTGGTCTGAAAAACTCGTTTTTGACAGTTTCTCGGCTCAGGAAGTCTCGCCAAGAGTCGGGACCGTGCGGAATCGAATCTACGCCTCCAAATTCGTAGGATGGACAGGATTGGACAGGATCCTTTTTTCGAAATACGCGATTTGAGATTTTCATAGTAAATGCAACTTTTCCACTGATTTTGATCCGATTTTTTATTTATTTGTACATTGAATCGGTGTTGATCGGTTTACGTTTTCATTTTTCGTTCGATTCATGTCGATCATACATACCCTCTCGTTACACGCACACTGCCTTTCATACCCTTTTTTTTTAACTGAAAAATTCGTCTGCAGCTGCGTCTGCGGCAATTAGTGTTACGAATATGTTGTGCGTGCTGGTTTCAGGTCATTACATACACGAATCTCTGAAGGCGTTTTATGTGCGAGAGCAATTCGCCTTCAGCTGCGTCCATGTAACCTACGTAATGCGGGATGTCGTCCATGTAACCCATGTCAATTTTTCTCGAGTTTGGACTTAGAAAAAATGTTTGAATTTTCAGTCGCATCCTACGTAGTTGGAGGCTTAGAAGCGATTCCGCACGGTCCCGACTCTCGGCGAAGTCAGGTATAAATCAGACAAACCAAAATTGGAAAAAATCGAAATCAAGATTCGTACAAGTATTTATTAAATAACAAAAAGGAAAGAGAAAAAAATAGTAACTTCAACAAGTTTCAACGAATACTTACTGATAAATATTGATAAGGAAACAACTCGCAGAGCCGGCTGAGTTTTCAGCTTACAAAGTTTAATTCAGGTTGATTCATGTATTTGAGTTAAAATGATATTATTAGTCTCACTCAAAAGGATAAATTTGATTATTATCTTACATTAAGTGTAACTGTTTACATAAAAAAAAATAAAATAAAATATTACTACTACATAGTGAAAAAACAATGAGGACAATGTGTACTAAAAAAATGTGATGGGCGAATACAGATAGGCTGAATGTTGGTATGTTTTTATGGATACAAATGTTCATTTTCATGCGATCTTTCACCAGGCAAGGGATGTTACAACGATGGGAGGTTTAATTAGGCTATTTGAAGACTGACGGTTTAATATGTATCTCTTGTTAACAAGCACCTTACTTTATTGAATCAGAAATTATTTAACACACAATCGAATCAAAGTAAAAAATGATACAAGCTAGAAATTACATAAAAACGATTCTCAGGACCAAATACTATGCAGGTCCTGAAACTGATATTTAAAAAAACAAACAATTGTTATTTGCACCACTTTGTTCAATGTAAAGGCTCCGGAAAGAAAATTTATAGCTTACAAGATAATTAAGTAATAAGGCCAGAAACAGTACGGAAATGCTCTTTCAAGGCAAGTAAAGACATTGATACAATGCAACTTTACCGACTTAAAAACTTCTATCCCTAACAAAAAAGATATTAATCAGAGCACCGATGGCAATCTCAAAAAATTTCCATTGCGTATGTTAATAATTAATAAAAATCACAAATAGAGAAAATATGTAGCTCAAGTAAGAAACAAATATAAAAACTGAATGCTTGCAAAATTTATCGAACAGAAAAGTTCTGTTAATTTTAGATGGAGTTAAAGAACAAAAATAAATAACAAAAAAAACAAAATTTTGATTTTGAATCAGTATACATTGACGATAAATGATGAAAATGCCACAGCAATTTCAGACCATTTTTTTTTTACTTTATTTAATCATGTTATGCTTTATTTATTTTCTATTAATGAGAGAAATGAGTGGCTCGGAAGAAATCTACCCAAGCTATCTCAGATATGTGAAACAAAAGATATTTTCCACAAAGAATGGAGTAATGAAATCTCAAGTGTAATTAAAAAAGTTTCAAGAGCCACTTATCTGCGGAAATGCAAAAAGCGCCAGCTTTTTCAACCTTCCCTCGTATTATTTTTTTCCAGAGGTTAATGAAAGCAGGTGATTTTTTTAAATGAAAATATTTCCACTTTTTTCAGAAAAATTCAAATTTTATGGAGGAGAAAATTCACTTAACATCCTTACCGTTCTTGAAAAACTATTGTAGCTGTAAATAATATAATTGATTTTTTTTTTTCTCTGCAAAGAAGAAATGACAATATTTGGAACATCAGTTCTCTGCACAAACCCTCTTAGAAACTCATTAAAGAATTTAAAACGGCAAAAGACAAAAAAACTTGTTTAAAAATTCCCATTACTAACAATGAGCGGCTGAATCATTCGCAGGAAAACTCCAGTAAATGCGTAAAAAAGTTCGTACCTGAATAAAAGATTTGCTAAAAAGTACAGTAAAATGAAAAACATACAATATTTAAAATACAATACAATTTACAAATTTATACAAAGGACAATAAATTAATGTAGACTCGAGAATTTACAAAACTAATAGTTCATGTCTATAGAAATATGAATTCTTTATCTTAAAATTGAGGATAATTCACATTCATTGTAAAAGATGGTCTCTGGACTTATGTCTAATTAATTATTAACAATCAATGACACTGAAGAGGTAGTCAAACTAGGCAAAAGATGACGGTGGGGATGACGACTCTTTCGCGGAGGCTGAAGAGTTGGTTATTTTCAAGGGAGAAACTTCCTCCGATCGTGAGAAATTAGACCTGCAAAATGAGTAGAATAACTTGCTGTAATGGATTGGCAAGTAAAAAGTAGAACTAGTAAACTAAACTCAATTACTTACAAGGTAAAAAAAATTGTTTTTTTTTTTCTATATTTTTTATTTTTATTTTCTTTGTTCAGTTTGAATTTTTTTGCATATTTCGCCAAAGCCTTCAGTGCATGCAAAATCAATCCAATATACTTGCGGTAGAAAATAATACTGTCTCCAGTGTCCTACAAATGACATTTAATGGGAAAGAAAACTAAAAAATTGCGACTTACTCTGATTCTCTTTAAAGAGGTAGGACATATAAAGTTAGATAAGGGAAAACTGAATGAAATTTTAATAAAAAAAGGAAATTTTAGCCGGAGAATTTTGTTAACTAAATTCTTTTTCCCCATTAAATCATAATTTCGCCTGAAAATTTTTGAAAATTTAGTGAGGAAGGTAAATAGGGCGAATGTAAAAATTTGCTAGCGAGCTTGAAAAAATAGATCGATGCGACCGTCTCTCTCAATCTCTGCTTCTTTGCTAACTGCATTTTAGTTTGGAAACCTGCCAGAACATTGAAATTTGAAATGACAGAATGTTTATGACTGAAAACTTTGAGTACAGTTCTTCCTTACCTGATAACAGAGCTCCTGTCTGCCGATCCACTATTATGATTGGTAAGGAAACTTTCAAACGATTCATCAGAACTAGCAGAATTATCACTGTTAACAAAGAAAGAGGAAAAAATAATTAGGAATGGCAGTAAAGAAGTCTACTATTTTTCAAAACTTCTGCAGGAGATAAACTTTCAGTATCTTAAAAAGATGGCTGCCATATCAGACTGTGCTTCTATTTTTCCAGGAAAAACTTGATCTCCCGGAAAACTGGAGGGTGATGGAAAATAATAGAGGACATTTTCAGATACAGAGGCTCAAAATATATAAGAATTACCCTTTCTCAGACCCAGGAGATTTTGGTCATTTTATTTTGTTAAACTGTGATGAGGGGCAGCGGTGACTGATCCCACCCTGCTGCGGAAACGAGAGGAAATAGCGGCAAGCTGACACTTGAACAAAACTGCCATGCTAAGGAAGAACGCCGTACAAGCCATGGGGCGTTGCCAAATTTTCTTCGACAAATCAGGAAATTTCAGGATTTACGAGTATTTCTTTTCCAATTTTTCAGAAGATTTCCTTCGTAATTGATCCAATTAATTATGTTGACCAGTTTTCCAAGGTAAAAAATAAAGTATGACAAGAAGTCTACAACATCGCATACAAAGGTACATGGCTTCGCTCTTTTGCCATCAAAATAAAGAGAAAACTTACCTATCTGTCGCAGAGTCATCATCTTCATCATCCTGATCTAACTCGCCTTGAATTGCCAGCTGGAGGTCTTCGATCCTTTGCAACGCCAAACGCAGATCAGTCTTTGCTGCCGAGGTTTCTGCTTCTGACTCCTCAAGTCTCTTTTCCAGCTCCTTCCGTTTGACCGTCTCACTGTTCTCTCGAGACTCGTGCTGACTCAATTGCTCTTTCAAGTCCCTGATGTTCCTCTGTAGTTTTCGGACTAGATCCTGTGCTGCGGCCTCTCGGCCTTTAGCGATGTCTGTATCACTTTGAAGTCTTTCTACCGTTTCTTTCAGTCTGCTAATTTGTACCTGCATGTGAACAAAATTTCAATTAAATGAGGAATGTAAGTATAAAATTTGATTATACATTAACAACAATGCAACAACAATGACGGTTGGAGTGGTAAAGATTTGTTTCATCACAATCCTTAGGCTGCTCTTGGTGAAAAATAATCCTAGGACCTTATTAGAAGATAAGATTTAATACATCTCGTAAAATTAAGAAGAAGAGTACAAACAAGAATACAACAAGTAACATAATACAAAGAGGCCTGCTAAATTACTAACTTGAGGGGTGATTAGAAATACTTTGCATTGACGGAGATTTTTTACGCGCTAAGTCCTATAAAAAAATCACAATGTAATTTTCTTCTCCCTTCTTCTCTAACATATTCCTGAAAATTTTCTGACATTTCTCGGTATCCCTTGAATGAGGCAACCCTGATGGTACAAGACGATGATTAATTTCAGGCTCACAAACAAAAGCAGGTATATCGGCCAAATTTGCTGTTATTTATGCTTGAATCTTAGATAATAATCTACTCCTTCTCAGATGTGATGGATTAATTTGACAATTTAAGATTTTCTTTATTGAGAGGAAATTTACCTCCATCCTGGAACGTGTAGTTTGTTCTAATTCTAATTTGGATTCCAGTTCTTTGCACTTGAGCTCAAGCCGCTTGACAGTCAGCGAAGAGACGGGGTCATTCATTGATCCTACGTTTTCTAATCGTGATGTCATCTCGTTCAACTGCTCCTTCAGCGATTGACGTTCAGTTTCAAGCTCTACAATTTTTCCAACTTGCTCTCGCAACTGACTCTGTTCACTTGAGAGCTGTTGCACAGTTGCTCTGTATTTCTTTAAAACCTAAACAAAAGTAAAACAGAAAAACATTAGAAAAAATGTATGGAAATTCGCCGACCATACTCTTTGCTACTGTGTATCTGTAATGTTTTCAAGAGGTTTTTCAATTCCTCGTTTAACAATGGGTAAAATTCATTAATTCCTTGAAATGCATAAATTTTGGGATTGAAAAGGTATGCTTGAACTATTCTAACAGACTCAATACAGATACATTATGAGTAGGTAGTTTTTTTTGCTGATCTGCAATAATTTGTTGGTTTATGTCACCGAAAAAAACAATAAGAACTCTTTAAATGCGGTATGATACAAAAACAAAGGATAACCAATTGCTAAACTTCCAGAGAGAGGATTTTGGATCCAGAGAATATATAAATTCAATTAACAAAAAAAGAATAAAAAAAATTTCAAGATGCACAAAAGTATGAAATTTTTAATTTAAATAACTAGTTAAGAAAGAAAAAAAAATTAGATCAACTAATTATCCTATGAACTTTTATAGGCTAATTTAATTTCTGTATATTTGTCTTCATTATTTTCAATAAAAAAAAAAAAAAAAAAAAAAAAAAAAAAAAAAAAAGCTTCCGGGAAAGCAAGGTTTTTTTTTTCAACCTCTTCTGACTCGTGGCAGAGGTCTAGGCAATGGGACATTCAAATCAAATGTATTTGAGATTTGCAGAGTCATGAGGTTTGAACTTCTAAAAGAATCTTCGAACTTAAGAAAAATTTGAAAATAAAGAAATATTTTATGGAAAAATATAAAATAGTTAGTGGCGGATTTCTCAGAGCTTTATGTAGAGATGTCAACGGTTTAACTTACTTCTGCTAATTCTTCTTCATTTTCATCTAACTGAGTTTGAAGTTGCGACCTCTCGCGAGAAATAACTGCGGATTTTTCTTCCGCTTCGTTTTTGGCTCTGGTTGCTTCCTCAAGGGCGAGCTGAACTTCCAAGAGATCGGCTTCTGCAGTCTGGCGAGCTTTGATGGCAAGGTTCCGTGCACACTCAGCATCTTCCAGCTGGAATTGAGAAACGGAAAATGCATTTTAGGAGTTCATACAGAGGCAAATCTTCAAGAAAACTGAGGCAAGAATAATATGGAATTTAGTAAATATTACATACAATAAGAATAGTAGTATTTCATGATAAAACGACAAATGAATTCATTTTTTATACATTTTTATTCCTTTTACTTATGATAATCAAAATTGTGGCACCTTGAGGCGAAGGGAGTAAAGTCCATTTTGCTGATGACCCTTGGATTCTGTAGGGAATACTAAGAGGTGTCTACTAAAATTAAATTATGGATTTTCCTGACTTTCCCTGATATTTTAAATGAAATTTCCTGATTTTTGGCACTAATAAATTGACATTTGTTTAATTTTACAAATCAACATATTTGATGCATTGAATTAAATGTTTCTTTTTAGCAGGTACTAAACTGCATGTAGTTGAAAAACACTTAATGCACTTAGGATTCCTGGATCCGTCTAATTTTCCTCATTCTTCCTCAAAAAAAACGAATTTCCACATATGATCCAGTTCTTACCGACTGTAAATACCCTGTAATAGTGTTGTTGGGCTCATCTGGAAAAAGGACTTGGTTACTTGTGCCTCAAGATACGTCAATCCTCAGAACTCAACTTCAGTTTGACATTTTTGTGCCAAAATAATGAAAATATCCTTGAGCAAGGTATGCCCCCCCCCCCCCCGTTTGATAACAATTTTATTATTCGATTTATAATTTTGATACATAATCGGACAGCAATTATGTCCAAAATTCAATAAAGGTGCATCATTATATATTATTGTTGTGCAGGTAATTATTACATAGGTACAAATATATATTCTTATAACGAGGTATGGTATACTAACCTCATATTACATTTTTTCAACAGCCAAGTTCGTTCTTTGGTAGGAGGTCACAATTACAGAAAACAAGATCTAAAAAAATATTACGATCTTTAAAACGTTGTTTGCAAAGAAATTACCTGATTTCGGAGCTGTCGCAAGATGGTTTTGTTCGGAGTGTCTGCTTTGGCTTGCTGTAGCATAATCTGCGCATCTTGTAGCAAAGCTTTGGTTCGTTTCAGATCCCTCCGGAGCCTATTCAACTGCTCTTGATCGCTAGTCCTATTCACACGTTCTCTATCTTCTAAATCGTTCAGTCGTCTTTCTAGCTCATGTCGCTCCCGAAGAAGAAGAGTCCTTTCTTCATGTTCACTCTCTAACTGGCATTCTAGAGCTAAAAAATAAACATTAGCGAAAATTATATAATAAGCACTAAAGTCGACATCAACACAGCAAAAGCTTTTATTGATAAAATAATTTACATCCTTAGTGTTGGATTCAGAAAATTTTATGAAGAAGAATTTGTAAAAAATAGTCTGTTAGAACGGTTTTTTCTTATATCATCTGAGTTCAAACCAGTGTAAAAACCAGATCAGTTTATATCTTTGATAATTGATTATTATTCCAAAGTACGAAATGATTTAGAAAAATACAATTTTCATTACCTAAATTAGCACAATGATCAATCGGAATGGAAGACATATGGATGAAAAAGCATGTGTGAATGTGGTAAGTTCAAATATCACATATGAAGAGATTTTTTAAGAGGAAAAAAGAGGACATTCCAACATGGATATGTTGGAAAAGCGTGCCGAACAACTGAAATGTTGGAGACATACTAATTTCATATCTTTGCTATTTGTATCAATTGGTACTTCTTGCCTAATTTAGGAAAACATATTAATCATGAATGTTGAATGTAAATTAACTTCATTGAAACAAGATAATAACATCATTAATTTGGGTGAACATGTGGCTGCTTGCATGAAGGAAGTATATTCTAGTACTTTTGTTTGACATATTAACTCACAAGGAAATGTTCGTACATTATTTAACTAGTATTAATAATTTTCAATTATTTTTTTGATGATTTGTCTTAAGCATTCAATACAATCAATCAGTACAACCACTAAAAAATTCTCCCTTGTGAGACTCGAACCCCTGCCTCGATATTTAGATTTCATGCATGCACACGAGCAGTGGTTCAGGCGACTGAGCTATTGCAGCTTACATTAATGGGGTGAGAAATCAAGATTATTGGACTACTAGACAGACTTGTGTTTGGAGGGTGGAGCTTGGCTCCAGCTCCCCAGATCAGCAGAATAATGACAGAGGATGTAAGCGCATTTCTGCATAAGCCATAGTTAGCACATGCTTTTATGTGTCTCAAGGTTCATCCCAGTATGCAGTTACTGCTGTTTCGCAATCATGGCAGTTGAGTTACCTTTTCATGAACTAAATCAATTAATCGTTCAAAATGAAATTCTGATTTTGGCTTCTGTGGCCGTAATGGGTCCTTCAGAGCAATTTTCCATGTTGTACAATGCTCATTATTTTTTTATTTGTATTCTCAAAATTTGAAGTGGGATAATGGTGGCCCCTCAAGAGCCACCTTACGTTCGAGCGCTTTTGATCGAACAAGGACTTATATCAAAGATGCTCATTGGCTACAAAGTTGCTACAAACTGAATTTAAGCTTCTAAATTTGAGTCGTTTGAGCGCAGAAAAGTTTTCTTGAAGTTTCCGCCAAATGAAATAATACCGTTTTGACGAGGAAATGTTCTCAAGGGTTTTCCCTGAAAAGCCGATTTGGTTTTTTGGTGAATGACCATGAGGGTTTGACAGTATAAAGATTCAAACACGAAAAATCGGATCCAATGGAAGAAAAAATTTGGACCGCTAGCGTTGGTTTAGTGGTGTGCAGTACTATGTTACATCTGAGTGATTTTAAAAAGCGAGCCCAACTGGTAAGCTTAAAATTATTATTATACCATATATTTAGAGGAGGCAAAGAATATGACTGACTCCGAAGTTAGGATAAATATGCTACTAAAAGACCAATCATTTTTTTTGAGGTACACTGAGTGGAATCTAATATAATATCAACCTCTCAGGAAAAGTTAGATCTAGTAAGCAATAACTGTTCAACTGTCAAAGAAGCCCAAAATAAAGGTCAATTATTACAATTATAATTTCCCCAAAAACTTATCTGAGTTCAGGGCTTTCTCTTTTATCTGTCATAGCCGGGCAGCACATAACTTCTCTTCGCTGAAGAGATGTAATGATGTAAGATGTAAATGCTAAAGATGATACGTAAATCCACTTCTTTTCGAAACCAATTATCATCAACTGGGTCCATTTGTGGAAAGAGGCCTGCTATGATACTTCTGACAGGGTGCAAAAGTTACTGCTGTGCACGACTAACCTTTAACTTTTTTCACAGCACTACATCGAGCATCTTCTATTTCATCGTCTTTCTGCATCAATTCTCTTCGGTGTTCCTTCCTCATTTGTTCTAAACTCATCTCTAACTTTAATTTGGCTTGCTCTAACATTTGTACTTGGCCTGCTAAGTCGTCCAGCTCTTCCTCCTAAAAACAAAAAATTTACCTCATCCGTTAATAGCTGTGGAATTTTATCTTGGCCATTAAAAATTATGAAAAAAGGTTAGCCTTCCCTTTGAAGGAAACATTTCAAAAGTTTTAAAGCAAGTCTATAAAATCTATTTCTTGTTGTAATTTTCTTTCATTTAACAAATTTTAATTCTAAGTATCGTAACTACTGCAAGAACTATGGTACAGTTTATCATTACATGTCATTCAATAATACTCACTTTTTTCTTTTTCGCCCGATTATTGGTGAAAAGGAAAAGAGAGAGAAAAGAAAAAGAAAAAAAGCAAGTATTATCTGATACAACCCGATAAAGGAGGAAAAAGAAACATAACATGTCATTCAAGTTAATTTCTAAATTTTTATTGATTTCCTGTTTCATTTTTTGGTTTTCCAGTCCATAAAGGGGCATTCTGTTCACTTAGCCTTGCGCACTCCCTCCCCATCCCCTCTCAAAAAAAAAAAGAAAACATAAATTACATTTAAGTTTACCATTTTCAAAACTGATAGTAAAACAATTCAATAAATGCGACTGTTTGAAAGTTTAAAATCATCGAATCCTAAAGAATGATCATCAGTCATTCCTAAAAAAGGTAGCTCACAAGAAAGGAAAATAGAGGAAGGATCATAATCTAACCTGGTCTTTGATTTTATTGTCTAGCTGATGTTTAGATTTCTTTAAATTTGCTACTTCTTCTTCCGTGCTTCCATTGAACATTAATTCTTCTAGCTCTCGATTTAAATTGACTAATTTTTGTTCCTTCAGTTCTAGTTCTAGTTTCACAGCCTGCAAAAAAATATGAATTATAAAACATTGAAACAATTTAAATTAATCACAAAGACAACAATAAAAGGAAATCCTGTAAAAGAGAATAAAAGAAATTAATCCTACACATGAAATTTTTTTATAAAAATAAAAATAGTCCTTTTAATTTATTTAAAACTGCTAATTTATCTGTCTACAATGAGCTTTCAGTCAATTTCAGGGCCTAAAAGAAAGGTTTCAGACCAAATTTTCTTTCAATAACACAGAAAAAAACGAGCAACTATTTGCGCTCTATCTTTCCATTACACAGAGCACTATCTTAGACTCTACAGTATTACAAAAACCGATTAGAAAATGTTATGTCCGTGTCTATACAAACAAATAGGGTGCAATGGTTAAATTTTGAAATTACTCAGAGAATAATTTGCTTCCATATTAAATGCAACAAAAGACTCCTTCGGCATGTTTCTTACGAAAGACTTGCTGCAGGTAGCTAACTCACAAAAATATGCATTTCATACAATATGAAATTTTAGCTGAATGCAATATGTAATTATTAACTGCTCACTTTTAGGGTATGATATTTTAAACACAAACACTTGGTCCAGAAATGTTCACATAATAACTGCTCAGTCACATGAGAAAATGAACTGGATGAACTCAGAGGCGGATCCAGCAATTTGGCAACACCGGATCTCAGTCACATGAGAAAATGAACTGGATGAACTCAGAGGCGGATCCAGCAATTTGGCAACACCGGATTTCCTCCATTTAAACCTATGCTAAATAATCGACTCTTGTCGGAGCACCTGGCCCCCCTAAGAATCGATACATTTCCATAGGTTTAAATGGAGGAAATCCGGTGTTGCCAAATTGCTGGATCCGCCAATAGATGAACTTCAAAATGAAAGCAAAGAAAAGTAGCTCAAATTACAAGCATAAAGCTAATATTGATGTAAAATTCTGTAAAGAATAACAAATCCAACTGAATCTGTGAGAAAAAAAACTTTCAACTCAGAAACTTAAAAATTCCCAAATTTCATTGAAGATACCCAATTTTCAGTACAGCCATTAAAGATGGCATATCAATGTCAACTTGGGTCTTAAGGTGTTCCAATGTAATTGTTCAAGCTTTTTCCAAAATGCTTTTTCTAAAACCATGTCCTTTGTCTACTGAGCAGTTTGAGCAGTTGTGTCTCGTTAACATTATCACTTTTTTAAGTTAATGTGTTATCATTCTCACTGATTCAATTATTTTTGGCAGAAAAGAAATGTTCTGCATCTGGTTCTAAAATCTTGTATTTTTGGAATGTTTCCAAAAAAGCAAATAAAAGTACGTACAGAAGAGTTGTAATTAAAATGGCTAAAATGAATGTAAATCTTTAAAACTCACACTTAATGTTTGCTCCATTGAATACTTTTCGCTGACAGCAATCTCTCGCTCCCGAGAAGAACGCTCTTTCTGCTGCCGCTCTTGCCTTAACTCGTCTTGCAACATTTGTAATTCGGCGTCAAACCTGAAATTAAGGTAACACTTCTATCAGTTTAAAAATTATCAATCGATATTTATTAAATTTTCATCAAATAATATGTAATTAAGTTCCATGGCACAAACATAGTGTCTTGATGATCAGGGCTGTGCTCTAAATTTGTGCGAAGTTCCAAAGATTTGGAATTTCAATAAAACTGCTGCTACCCTGACTCATTCACTTAAAAAAAAAGAGATTTTACAATAGGTGATCAAAATTTGACAGTGAAATTGCAAAAATGCGTATCTCAGATACGGTGTTTCAACATGACCACTCCTTCACCATTTCATAAAAGGTAACTGAACCAATATCATGACTCGAAATTTTCAGAATATTTTCTCCTAGAAAAGATAAATCACTGAAATTTTCAAGAAATGACATTTGTAGTTTTTCATAAAAAAAATCAAGTATTATACCTACAAAGTTTGCATTGCCGCACACCGAGATACGCATTCCTGCACTTTCATCATGAAATTGCCTTTAAATTAAAATTATGATTTCAAAAGTTAGGCCTCTCATATCAAAACGTACAATCTCCGTTCCTGGGCCAAATTGAGTTAGGAATGGATTCTGCCTCAGTTTTAGGAGCGGAATCCGAATCTGGATTTATTTCGGTGCAAAAAGAACTATATCCTTCATTAAATAGGGGGTAAAATCTGGCTTTTGCAGCAAAATGATATGGCTTCCCGCCGGTTTTACGGCTTTCCTGTAAAATTTGAAAAAATGGAGATTGTACGTTTTGATATGAGAGGCCTCTTCTGAAGTTACGTTTGAAAAGATGCCTTTAAACCAAGGGGTTTTCTGTGCTGGTCGTGTCTTGTGCAAGGGAGCACAAATTAATCCATTTTTTTGGGGACTAAATTCATTTATTCACAAATTGAAAGAGTTTATTGGCAAGGCATGAATACTTTCTAATGATAGTGAAATGAAAATAATCTGCCACTCATCATGTATTAAAATTGAAAGTCACTAACTTCAAAAATCGTACGGTTTTTCGGATTGAAATAAGATTCTGTCTATCTGATTGTTATTTCTTTTTAAAGTGTACCTACACCAAAGGATATTTTATGTAGTACGTTACATAAATGTAAAGAAATTACAATTAAACTTGATGAATAAAAATTAAGAACGAAAAGTTGAAATCATATAAACTTACTTCCTCTGCTTCTTTTCAAGTAAAATATTCCTAGAATTTTGTTCCTCTAAAAGGAGCCGCACATCGTTCAGCTCTGAGTTTAGTTTCTGCACTTTACGTTTCCACTGGGCAACAACTTGTCTTTGTTCTTCAACTTCTTCGTATGCATCTGCAAGCTAAAAAAAAAGAGGGAAAAAAACACATATTAGATCTATCATTATCTTCTTCAGAATGGTTAGAGCACATCTTTCATTACTACATTATAAATGATAGCTCCAAATTGATCAATTTGTCAAATCTGAACCGCAAGCATACTTGAGTACTAAAAAATCCAATAATGTTTTTTTTCTTCAGTACTGCTGAAGTCAGAAATGCTTTCAGATAATTCATCACCCAAAGCATTAGCACTTTTTGAAGATATTCTACTTCAACAGTCCAAAAGAAACAAAACATAGGAGGTAATAGATTAATGATTTCAGCTGTTGGAGGAATAAGAGAGGAGCTGTGCATTTATAGTAAACGGAAATAAACCCAATATTGACTGCACAGGAAGTATTCTCTTCTTTGAAGCCAGTCTGCCAATGCAACCAACTTGAAATTTCTAAGGGAACGTAATATGTAATTTGAATGAGAGTAAAAATCTTACTTTTTTCTCTAACTGTTTGCGGAGTCCGATGAGTTGCTCTAAATCGTCCTGATGCTGCTGATCCAATCTGCGTTTTGCAAATTCTAGCTCTCGAGCAACACGCTCATAGCGTCGTTTGTAGACTCCAGTTCGATCTCCACTCTCATCATCATCATCTTCACTATGTAGTGCGCTTCCGTTCACATCTGCTGAGTGAAGGTGTAATACTTCGAGTTCTAACCTTTCTCCGTTTTCTTGCAGGCGTTTGTTTTTGATCTAGAAAATAAATAAGACTTATGTTGTTTGAAAAGATCAATATATTTTAAACAAATTTTGTGGAGACTATGAAAGTCATATTTGCTTCTTCTGCTTAACAAAGGGGGGGATTCATAGAAATACATTCTTTTCTCCTTTGTAAGAATTATTTTTTTGGAATGTGTACAAAAATCAAGATGGAAAATAAACTTGGATATGAACTGGTTTATTTTACAATCTTCAGGAAAAAATGAGTCGTTACATGTAGGAGCACAAGACCGGAATTAGCCTTTAATTTTGCGAATTGAAAGTTATTATGTTCCATTCACATACTTTTCTCTGTACCTAATTACAAGTTTTTAGAAGAAACTCCTTTGAGTAGAGTCTATGCAGCTGAGATATGTTTCAATACGTAGTAAACCTCTAAAAAGAGTTTGAAACAAAGACCAAAAACAACAAAAAACAATCTACTCTAATTATTTAACGCGAATATGTTTTGAAAAATAGTTAAAAAATTTAAGGGAATTTTTTTTACATAAATTATGCCTATTATGGGAAATATCAGAAACGTCTACTAATAGCGCCATTGGAATATCTATCAATGACGTCATCGGAAAAGTCTGTTGACGAAGTCATCGGAAAAGTCTGTTGATTAATCATCTGAAAACATTGATAACGTCATCAGGAAATTCCGTCGATGTCATCATCAAGGCTTTTCTGATAGCATTTCCTGATTGGCTAATTCATCGACATAATTAGAACGAAGCAAGCAAAAGGATACAAAATAATTTTTTAAAACAGTAAGATAAGATAAGAGAAAGGAAGTAACACAAATTTTGACGGTTTTGAAGAAGTTTTTTGAAGAGTGCTTTTCAACAGCCACCGCCACCGGGATGGCAAGCAAGTTTCTTCTCTCCTTCGTCTAAAAATAATATCTACTGAATGGAATAAGAATCAAATCAAATTTTAATTTACCTGAATTTCTTGCAACTCTTTTTCAAGCCTCAAGCGTTCAGATGTTTCGATTTCAAGTCTTTCACTGGCAACAGTTGCAGTAGAATGTTCTTCGGCCAAATCCACAGTCATTTCACTCAACTGAAATCAGACAGGAAATCAAAATAAATTCCTTTGAAAGCATATAAAAATACCAGAGGATAATATGAACATTCATCCAAATACGTTTTTCACTTCGGATATCAAAACTCGTTATCGGAACTTCCGTCCAAAGCAAAGACGCCAGAACTCCATTTTAGATTTTTCTCCATTTTAGATTTTTCTCCATTGTTTTCCGACAAATTGTCCCATTACACGAGCAAAAACGAATGTTCATCTTTTTCAATAACAAGAAGAATCCACTGGGAACTCAAAGTGAAGAGCTGAAGCATAGTAGTGATGGAATTTTCTTGTTACGCCGGAGAAAAATTTACAGTTCGGAATCGAGTTACGGCCTTTTGGCCTTGGACGGATGCGAACGTAAGTAGGTACATAGGCATTCATTCATGAGAGCCGCGGCGCATAACAACAGGATGTTTGAAAGAACGCTTGGAACGAAGGACAGTAAGTAGTATTTTACCTCGGAAAATTTGTTCTCTTGTCGTCTTGAGAGAGTAAGCTATATAAGCATTCAAGTGTTGCAAAATTTCTCCTGATTGTATTTCCGACAAAAGTCATGAATAATTTGAAATGGATTGCGAATTGCAAATTGACGTTTTGAAAAATTTCAAAAATATTCGTGAGATACCCTCAGCTTGTATCTAATTGAAGGAAGGTCGCAATGCTCGAAGGTCGACAACGCGTTCTTTCAAGCATGGCAAAACAAACTTTTTGAAAACTAGGAATCAGAGGTTGAGATGACGATGCCCCGACGCGAAGACATGTAAAATCAAATGTCTTAGTCCTCTATGCCTTCGAGTCTGTCTGCTTTTTAGCTTTTTAGGTGTCATTTCTGTAGACTGAAAAGAAGACGAAGAGGCATGTTCAAAGGTCGAGAGTATTCTAGTCTTCGCTCTATAAAATGCACTCACACACACACACCAATAAAAACAGTTGAATTCTATGAGTAAATGCTGGGAATCTATTTTATGATAACATCTCGGTGCAACTATTCGTACTCATCGGACGTGCGGGTTGCATGCACGGTTAAATGAAGGCGCTTTGGTTTTTCTTCCAGCTGGTGTGCGAACGCAACGCTAACAAAAACGTCTGATGCAACTATTCGTGCTCTATGGATATCCATGATGCATATCTGAAAAATGAAGGGGCTCGGATTTTCCTCACTGCCTTGGCGATTCAATGAGATTTGCTGTATCCTTTGCGCGAAACGTAACTCGATATATTGAATTAGACTCATCCTAATATTTTCTTCAAAATTTAAAAAGGAGTTTTGATACTTCTAGGCGTTCCGTGCGGCTTTGTAAAAGCGATTTCATAAAAAAATGGACGAATTTATGTCAAAAGAAACATAACATGCATAGGTTTTGCCTTCGACACAGTTCATTCCAGCATAAATACGTCTAAACAAAATATAATTTAACGGAAGGAAATTCAAAACCTGGAGATTTCTAACCGTGTCAGGGATATAAAACGCTTTTTGGCCCACACAGTTTCGAGCAACCAGGGATTCAACCTATGCTCTGTGACATTAGGTACGCGTTCGCAGGAATTTTTACCAAAAAATAGCGCGTTCGCAGTAGTTGAAAATATAAAACGCAATCGCGTTAATTTTTAAAAAAATTTGACGCTTTTGCGGTGAATTTCTCGATAGTTTAACGCTTTTGCGGTAGTATTTTTTAGAAAATTCAACAATTCAGCAGTAATTTTCTGGGAAATTCAACACTTGGACTGTAATTTTATCGAAAGTTCAAAGTTTCCGCAATGATTTTGTAAACAACAAGTTCGCACCAATTTTTACAAAATATCGACATCCTAATTATGAGTTTTTGTAAAAATCAGTGCGTTGAGCTTTTACTCTGTAGAGTAAACCCGATTTTTCTTTCTCTCTTGCAACCGAACTTCTTTCATCAATGAATGCGAAGAGTCGAGAGTCGTCTTGAGAGTCTTCATCAAGAGTCGAAATAGTTCTAACACTCCCCCTTTACAACGATTCTACTCCCACGTTAAAGCTCGAAGTCGGACGAAAAGAGATTCTCCTTTATTCTGTAGATACGCAAGTAACCTATTTGGAAGTCGAAACAATTTTATCACGCGTTTTGCTCCCTCTAGTTTTCCTACTCCTGCGTTAAAGTCTCTGAATAAGCCCAAGAGAGTTAAGTTCTCCTTCATTTCGTGGATATGCAATTTTACCTACTTGGAGGTCGAAATATTTGTATCACGCGTTTCGCTCCATCCAGTTTTTCTACTCCTGCGTTCAAGTCTCTGAGTTAACGAGAAAGAAACCTGACTCTTTTACTCCCGTGGACATGCGAGAAAGTTTTGCTTCAAATGTGTTGCTTCATAATCACGACCGAATCTGTAAAATGGGACCTTGTCACCTAGAAAAAAACTACCGAAACTTTCAACTTAACTCGATCAACGATCGCGGGAAACGCCTGTAAAACTGAAGGAATACGTCAAGCATTGCGCCATCTCCACAAGCTCACAGCGGAATTCGATCTTTTGTCTCGCTCTCTGCTCTTGACTCGCGAGCACAGGGCAGTGCGCGTACATACGTACATAACTTTGGAGGGTGTGCGCAAAAATAGAGCGCGATTTGATTCGAGCGTAATTAATTTTATTTTATCCATCATTCAAGGTTGCACCTGCGCAATTTTCCCTTTGCCTACGAAATTCGCGAACGACGACTCAGTCGTTGGTTCATGAACATTCTGCGCTCCTGCTTCGTAAGTTGTTAAGATGGAGATAGTTTCTCTCATTTATCGGGAATCTATTCTGCAGTGCTAAGAAAAAACACCGTATGGACATCCGGAAGTGACTTAATTTTCCCCTACGCAATGTTTATTTTTGAGGAAAATTAAGAACATTGTTCTTGGAAATTTGTAGATTCTGTAGATTAAATTGCGAATCATAATCTCTAAGAAATCGGGAGAAAAAACTCCAAAAGTTTCCTTAAAATTTCGTGTTTTATCGAAAACATTTGGCGTCCTGACTTAAACGGCATAGTTCCTTGGCACGGCAGTATAAACAAAAAATGACACTCAGTGGCGTAACGGACTTCCGCTGGGCCCCCCTGCAAAATTTTTTCTAGGCCCCCCCCCATGTCGATAAAATTCCAAAATCATCCCCCTCCCGCCCCTCTACTTCCCTCACCCTTTCCCGTTTTTTGGCCCGAGAAATTTCAAATCACGAACTTGGATTTGGAATGCCTCTCCCCTCACTGTCCCGGATCCCGTACCCGATTAAATGGGGCCCCTAAAGGATCAAGGATCTAAAGGGTGGCGGGGGCCCAGCCCAGGCCCAAGGATCTACAAAAGGGCCCATGCAGGCCTAAGAATCGAAGGGCCCCCAAGGGCCTTGTGGGCCCTTTAGATTCATGGGTCACCCAAAGCCCGAAATACCTACAAAAAGTGACAAAAAAGAGAAAAATTTTGGTAATAACTGAGTGGACATTGGAAGGCAGGGGCCCTTCAGCAAAAAAAAAAAAAAAGTTAGGAACAGTCCAAAAGAAGTATGAAAACCCCTGAGCTAACAATAAAAATCAGCGGAAGAAGCCCCATCTCTGTAAGTAAAGGCCCAAAGTTTGAAACCAAAAGCTAAGCATCAAAGAGACAGAAAAACAAAATTTCGGCGGCCGAAGGCCCGGAGGGCCCCCTAGGCGCTTGGGCCCCCCTTCATAGCAGGGTCTGCGGGGGCGCCCGTTACGCCACTGATGACACTTCTTATCGTAAATTTATATACAGCCTGTGACACACTATCAAAATACCCCATCAAAATGTCAAGGTCAAGTGCTGTGATTGGACCAAGTCATCGAATAAACCAATCACAAAACCTGACCTTGATATTTTGATGGCTAGCTTTGATTATGTGACACATAGGCTTAAAGATTAGGAGACAAAGTCCCCCAAAAAGTCCAGAGAGCAATGACACTTAGGTTCTTTTACGAAGATGAGCATAAGGCACAACACAGGGTTGCCGGAGAATTCAGAAAATGAAATTCCCTAACAATTCCCTGATTTCCCTGACACATTTTGGTGAAATTCCCTGACATTTGAAGATGTGACGGATGGTTAAGAAGGCATAATTGAAAAGTTTTCAGGCAAAATTTGTCGTTCAAAACCTCAAACCCATTCTAGAAAGCAAATGAAGGTGATTCAACAAATTTTCCCTGACATTTCCCGGTTTTCCCTGACAATTCAGGCCAACCTAAAGGCGCTTACTAAGTGTAGAAGTTGCTATAAAATTTGATGAAATTTTGCATCTGCGGACACGATGACGTTGCCGCGTGAGGATTCTGCGAGCTCGGAGAAATCAGTGGCGTCTGGGAGTGAGACGCGCACGCGAGATGATTATCAGGTCGCGGGACACAATCCACGATCCACAATCGGGACACAATCCACGATCCACAATCGGGACACAATCCACGATA